GGGAGGGTGAGGTTTTTTTTTTTTTCCCTTTTCTTTTTTTTTGTCTTTTTTTTTTTTAAAAAAAATATTGAAATTAAAGCAACTTTCATTCATTCATATCACAAGCAAGAATGTTTACAATAAATCGGGATCTTTAAATATTCTATTTTTTTAGAATAATAAATAAACAAATAAATATTTTACAAAAAAATTAAAAAACTTCTTTCTATTTTAGGTCTAAACTGTTTTCTCAATTTGCACAAATAATATGAGAATCCATTAACCATTTGTTAAGCATTGAATCTACATGGAGTGATGGAAGTCACATGAGTACCACCATGAAGGCGAAGAGGCCAATAATAACATGCCACGTGACAACTCCAAGTGCCACTCACGCTCCTCTCTTGATTGGAAAGTGGCATATTGATCCACGAGTTTCGCTCCCAAAAAAGAAAGTCGCGTCAATCCGATCTTAACCTGGATAGTTCCTATGGCCAAGCCTCACCCTTCCGCCAAACCATTGCTTCGCTGGAAGCTTGCTAGCGAAAGTCCCAATAGAGTCCGCGGTGAGGGTCTTCAAACGAGGTGTGATGCCTTCAACAATCAATCAACAATTCGTAGGACAACCCACAGTATTTTGAGAGAATATGATTTACAAGGAAACTATTTTCTCAACTTCTAAACATCAGCACATAATCCTCGTTGACCAAGGAAAATCTAAGGAAATCAATCCACATAAGGTAACTCGGTTTAACAAGAAAATGAAATGATAAAAGGTACATGATAAAAGATACGTTAACAACAAGAATTGTTGATTTTTGAGGTAAACACCATCAAACATCATATATAATCTGAAAATAAAAAGCCCCTTAGAAAATGAACTGATCACTTTCAAAATTGTAAATTGCTACGAGTTTCATATAATTAAGGCAAATAATTAAACGAACAAGAGAATTTGTTATAGACTGATTAAGCAATCAAAACATTATGAAAAGTGGAAATTATGCCACAGACCTACTTTTCTTTTAATATTTCTGATTTACTATTCATCATTTTATTAACCATAAATACTGCCTTTTGAAGAGTAAAAATAGAAAGTGAAAAAGTATCAAAACAATAAACAATTTAGGACATAGCCAAGATTACTCTTTCAAACTCGCCCTTAAATTCATAATGCTTTGAATAAACAATTTAGGACATAGCCAAGTATTTTCATTTTTTTTTTATTTTTCACTACTTATCTTGAACAAACCAACATCGCAGGTCATCATGCTATCGTGTAGTTAGACGCAGCCTTTTTTTACAGTTTCCTTTTTATTTTTATTTTTGAGATGTCCAGAAGTAGCTTATAAATTCAGTTATCTCTCCTTCAAAAAAAAAAAAAAATCAGTTATCTCATAGGCTTGTGTTGTACAATGTGTTCTGGTAATTCCAGATTAGTATGCTATTTTATCAATTTAATAAAAAGCTGGGCATATTCTAGTATATATTCTATATTTCTATGTAATTTTCAAGTTCGGACGTCTTCTTGTAGTTTGTTGAATATTTTTTTTTTTTTAGAGATGTTTGTTTCACAAATTCTTTATATGTATAACATGACAAATGTGTGTTTCG